GTAGATTGATGGAGAATGTGTGTTTAAAAATGAAGAAAAAGTTATTGATGTGATAGAAAATATTATTTTATTGAAGAATGTGTGGTTGAAAATGAGTAGAAGAATGAGAATAAAAAAAAATAATGTGTACCTAACAGAGCCTTAGTTTTTGTTCAATATGAATTTTTTTTTGACATGTCTTCCACGATTCAATTCTGTTTAAAAAAAAATTCCAATGTTGATGACGACGTTGTAGCAGGAGCCACACCACACAGTACTTTGTGACGCAACACCGTGCAACATGTGCATGGTGGTGTGCGGTGCGCAGCGGCGACACTGCAACATCATGTAGCGCTCACCTCCGCTTGTGATGCAGTGGCGAGCTGCCTTCTGTCCCCACCAACGTCATCCCCGTCTTTACTTTTGATCTAGGGTTTGTCTTCGGTTTAGGTGTTTTTTAGGGCAGGGACTTAGGCTGAAAATTAGAACTTTTCATGGCCTTGTTTGTAATTTAAAATTAGGGTTATGATTGCAATTTTTAAAATATATTTTTAATAATTCAGCTCCTTAAGTTTAAAGCTTTAATAATTCAGCCAATTAAGTTTAAAACTTTAATAATTCAGCACATTAAGGTTAAAATTCATTCAAATTGGGCCTTTAAAGTTCTGGGTTTAATAATTGAGTCCCCGAAATTTGAAAATTAATTAATTTAGGCCATTAAAATTTTGAACTTTGCAATTAACACCCTCAAAGTTTATAATTTGCTTAAATTGGCCCCTAAAGTTTTGAATAATTAATTTTTTTGGACCCCTCAAGTTTCGAATAATTAATTTTTGACTCCTAAAATTTTGGATAAATAATTATTAACCTCTAAAGTTCTAAATAATTAATTTTTGATCCCTAAAGTTCTGAATTATTAACATTTAGGCCCCTAAAGGTTCAAAATAAATCAAATATGCAAATTCGATGATTTTCTTTTTCAAATTTTGGTACGAATGACTCTTTTGAGAGGTATAATATTCGAAAGTGAATTAATTGAATCAACATGTTGTCAAAGCAACATTTCTTGTGAAAATTAATTAACTTAAAATATGAAAAGGTATTTGTGTGTATGTTATTTATGCGAATATTTGATCGGCTCAAATGAAGGTCAATATTTGGTCGAATTGCACATACACCTGTGATGATAAATATGTGGCGAATATTTGGTTTAAGTGTGATCAATAAATCGGTCCAAAGAAAAGTTTACTGATTGACACGTTTCTTTATTGTTAATGTTTGATCACTACACCAAGAGTACCACTTACAAGTCAATATTTCTGTCTAAAGACTAAATATTGATGTTGTACTAAGTATCTTGTGATGCGCCCTACTATTATTTGAAATTATTATTTACATATTAAGGATATTTATGCGAGCTATTCCGAATTAATTATTGTCTAATTCGGCTTCAAGTTCTACTGCTAATATCTTTGTTAGCATCAATTCAATTTCAATACTTAATGACACCAACTTCAAGGCATGACAAGAGAACGTGATAGATAACAGGTCGATCAACCTGCTGCACTTACTGATAAGAGTACCTCTGATGACAAAAGAGAAATGGAAAAGTGGGAACGATCGAACTGTATAAGCTTGATGGTTATAAAACGTGCTATTCCAGAAGCATTTTGGGGGCACTATGTCCGATAAGGTGA